CCTCGACAAGTACGTATTTTGGCAATCAACAACCAACTCAAAACAAGAAACTTCAGGACGATCTTGGCTTAGATTAATAATTTATTTCTTTCCAAAATTTTAAAATTTAGATACATATTTGTGAGGTTTAAGATATCAAAACATCATTTCAAAAAATGCATAATTTACACTTAATTTATTAACACTATTAAAAAATTATAAAATATCTACCAACGATACACACGCATATACTTACTTAGGATTAGCCTGTGTTTATTCAAATATGTTTAAAGAATATCAGCATTTAGAAGTATAAATCCATTCCACACTTTATGTGCTTTGGTAACTCATTTTGGACGTAAAAATATTTAGCTTACAAACAACGCTTCAGATAACCATCAACCAATCCATCATAATTCCTAAGTGTTAAGTATTCAATACATAGTTATAGTACATGAGTTATCTTTAAGCGTGGCGTATCATGTTAATTGACTTACTTGTGTTAATTGCGTTAATTGACACGGAGCAACAAAATGTTCAAAGTTTTAAAGATTGCGTCGTCGCAAAGACGGACATGGTCGAGGCAAAATACAATTACCTTGAAATTTTAATTTCAGAAATTTGTGCCCCTTTTTGAAATTAGTTAAAATTATAAATTCTTTCAAAGTTTTAAATTTAAAAAAAATGTGGCAAGTGGATTTTTTATAAATCAATTAAGTCCTTGTGTGGAGACATGTTTTCGAATTTTTTGATTCGCGCTAAAATTCGAAAATTTACAGAATTTTTAAAATACGAAGTTGTATGTATATATATATAGCTGGAAAACAGTTTAAAATTCGCGCCTCGAGCTCAAATCAGCCGCTGATTATCAGCGCAATGGGAAAAATGAAAAAACTCGGGTATGCTTATTTTTTGTGGTGAACAAAATAAAGCTGGTTCCATTGCGATCTGAGTTGTACCCGTACAAGACTTTGTCTGTCACCAAAATTATTAATTAACAGGATAGTTGTCACCCCCATTATCTTATGTTCTGCCATCCTCCTACGAAAAATTCATGCGACGATAGCCCTCCCGCTGACGCTTTGCTGGTCTATAGCATTGAAGCGATGGTATCGTGTTTTTGCGTAGCATTACATAAATTATACTATTTACACCGTAAAACCTCTATTTATAGCCCCATTCTAATTATAGCCGGTCTCCAAATATAGCCGGGTCTGGAGACCAAGATTTCAAAATTTTAGCCGGGTCTCTAATTATAGCCGGGTCCCCAATTATGACCGGGTCCCCGTTCATACCCAATCCTACGAAAATACTGAACATCCGGTTAATCAACGAATAAGGTCAAAATTTACAGAATTACGTGTTAAGATCTTAAACATTGCTAGCCCTTCACGATCTCCCCTTTTTGTCCTCCTCCACTGATCAAAAGCAAATTCAGGGTTTGATTCATGCAAAAATCCTGAATAACCAACGGGCTCCCGGCGTCGATGAAATTCGATCCGAATTTTATCTTAAGCACGGCGCAAGCCTTTATTTCCCGCCGTAGGATGGATCGCGTTCCACCAAATTGGATGGACTGCCTCACATGAAGCTGCAACACGTGAGACGACGCGCCATTCACCCACGACGCGAGCGTTATGGCGCCAACGTTGCAAACCCAGGTTTCCAACATGATGAGGGGAAAGATGAGAAAACCAGGCATCGCTATGGTGTCGTGCAATTTGATGCAGACGTATTGCGAGACGATTTGCAACAGAGGAATCAGACCCACGATGGTGGGGACGATTCGCGTCATCAGGAAAACATTGAGATGTTTTTCGACGATCTGGATCCTCCTGTAGAATTTGATGCCGGCCTGAATTTCCCGAATTGTTTGGGCACTTGTTATCTGCCTGTGAAAATATTGAGAGTGAATTAAGGTTATAAGAACATAAGCATTACTTAACTAATTGGATTACCCAGTATTTTTATACCGACTTGTGGTAAATTTGCTACCACCCTGATAATTTCTGTGATCAATATTTTAGACTAATTCAACCACGGGTATATTACCTCCATAAGGCTGGTCGAATCCAATGATAATATTGCGCCAGAAAAGGGCAAACTTAGCCCATCAGCGCAGGATAAGATTGATGAAAGGTACAGAAAAGCGATCAATGAGTGTAAAACGGCGACTTGCAAGTCTGCTGCGGAAAGGGAAAAAGTGCGAGCGCAAAATAAGTCTAAGGGAAAGTAGAGCAAGTAATTTAAAGCAGTTGTGATGTTTTATGAAATAAAATGGAATATGGATTTATTCGAGAATAATTCTAGTCAGATTTTTGTTTTGTAATTGGTTTGACATGCGACGAGATTGATGGCTTATCGTTTAAGTGATTTAACTGACAAGGGAAGGTTCCCGACTGCTTATCGTGTCCCGTGTACCCACTTAGTTTTTTAGCATGTACTAGGATTCAAGAACGATTCATATTTCTGTGTAAAACTTATATTAGCGCCGTGCCGTGGCGCGACATTCGCCAAATTTGAAGCTTTTTTATTTTTAAAACAGCCATAGCTTCTGAAATCTTCGACGGATTTTCAAAATTTTTGACAAACATTATGACTTTACGTTTCATATACAGGGTGGTTAAAATGTCACGCTACGATGGAAGATTTTTCGATGGGAAAAATTCGCAAATTTCCATTAGGTACCGAAATTTTGGTTCTAAAATTCAGTATTTTAAGAATTTCGTCATCAATGTTCCATCAGTTTTGATAATAATTATCGAAATCTCAATCCAAAATCTTGTAACTAATGGAGATTTAGGGGTTTTTCCCATCAAAAAATGTTCCATTGTAGCGTGACATTTTAACCACCCTGTACAATAATATTTTTCGAAAAATTATATTTTTTAGTCTTTTGCAAAATTTCGTTTTTTTCAAAATTTCAGCAATTTTAAATTTAAGCTTAATAACAATTTAATTTAAGGATCCTTCATGTCCAATAATTTTATTCCTCTCCCACAGTAGGTAGGGCCTTTTGCTAGTAATGCTAATATCGATGTTATAGTACGTACATACGTATATGTCAATTGCCCAATTGAAGCCCAACTTCTGCGTATTAGAGAATAAGTAATTTACTTATTAAGGGGTGGAAACCACTTTATGGAAATGTCTCGTCTGTCTGTCCGTCTGTCTTTGTGTCTGTACATATGCACAATAACTTTAGAACGGATACAAATTTCGACATGCGGTTTTCGCCAACGTGTTTCTAATTTTTGAAGTACGGATGAGCTCGAAGATGGAGATTGTAGGTCATAAGGTCACGGTGCCACGGTGATGACGCGAACGGTCAAAAGTGTCGAATTTTTTTATTTCCACCGTTTTAGACGTATTTTTAGGCGAGGATTTCACAAGTCGACATCGTTTCGACATGCGAGGACCCCATGACCGTGAGGGCGGTGTCGAAGGTCGAAAAATGACTTGTCATGTCGATGTGGGTGTCGATTGAAAGGTATGGTTCAAAATACGTTTGTGGGGTGTCAAAACCGGGAAAAATGAGACGGGGTGATGTGCGACAATGACGTGAAAGTGCTGAAAGAGGTTTTGAGACAATTAATTCGGTATGTTTTCACCCCTTTGCTACATTTCGTTTGCAACGATTTATTAATTATGTAAATCACACCAGAAGAGTCACTTGCGTCGCAGTAATGGATTACACGACACAATCCCACAAAACGGTATTATGAAAGCCATACGTTCGTTGAGCGTTGCCACGGCTGCATCACTTCTATTCTAATTCTTTTTATGCTTACGCAGTTCAAACAGTCATGCACAATAAAAAAATTAAAAAAAAATTAAATAATAAAAATAATAAAAAAAATATTTATGCATTGAAATTTCATTGATTCAAAGCCTTGCAAAAAATATTCATTTCTGAATAATTTGTAAAAAAAAATATTCATTAAGTATACAATATTTATTCATTATTCACTATTCCTTCATCTTTTATTTTATTAAAAATTCACAGTATTAGATGAATTTTTTTACTTTCCCGAAGTATTAAGCATTGAGCACAAAAATGAATGATGGAAAAATATTCATTTACACGAATTGAATACAGGGTGGCCCTCAGTAACTGTAAGTGAAATGAAGCGCTGTAGCTTCAACAGTTTTTCTGTTACAAATTTCTAGTAAATTTTAATGGAAAGCCAGTTAATTTCTAAGTAGGAAACAATAATTGGTTTCCGAAATTTCCTCCCAGAGCATTAATGCAGAGCTGAAGACGCGGCCTACAGCCCTCGATTGCAGCACGCTCGGAATTCGTGGACAAATTGTTACATTTCGTGGTCAAAGAATTTTTTATTCCTCTTGGATTTCGCAATCGTCAATCTGTAACAAATGTTGTTAGTATGAAATTTGCAAGAAACAACGATCTGTGCAGGTATGGTATAGATACATACAAGTGTGTTTATATACTTAAGTACGTTATATACATAAGTACGAAGAGGAGAAAACAAGCATTTAAATTAAAAAAGTGCAACGCTTGCTAACTGTTTGGATGCAAATTTCCCCGGAAAACTTGCGCATCGATTACTATGAAAATTTCAAATTAATTAAATTTTTCACCGATTGACATAAATTTTTGGTCAAAATCCGAGAGCATACGCTGAGAGACCTACATTGTAAGTCTGCTCTGAAATCGTATTTTTGTCCGTATAATTGCCCTTCAGTGCCAAAGTGGCGCCATCTTCTCTCCAAAATACTGTCTGGATATCCCCCCAACCCCTCCAACTCCTGTCCCAAGTCCCCCTGGGGACGGGATACTACGGCAAAGTGTACAAAGCTCTGCATCTCGTGCTAAACGAACCAATGGCGGTTAAACATATCCTGCTGTTTAAAGCGCTACAAGCCTGCAGTTGGAATGTGGACCTGCTCCTCCGCGAAATTAAGCACATGCGCCAAGTCGAGCATGCCAACGTGGTAAAGTGTTTTACCACTGCTGGATCGAAGGGCCGGAAGGGATGGTGCGGTTGGTGGAAAGCATGGGAATTTCTCAGTGGACATCGACCAATGACGAATTTAGTCTCTTTATCCAAATGGAGTTTTTCGATTCGACGCTGGACGTGTGGTTGAAGGAGAGGCCCACCAAGGAGGAAAGGCAAGGGGAGGGTGTGGTCTCCATTTTCGTCCAGATGTTGCAAGGTTCGCGGTCATTTATTTAACCTTAGTGCGACCAAAATTTTAATAAAAATCCCTCTCCTTAGTGTACGATATTAATTTCGTAGATAAATCTGTCAGCAACTAGCCATGTTTTCTTGGCTTTTTTTCAAAGAGGAAATATTTTTTAACTCTTTTTATATTTCGAACCTATTTCAAAAATTTGAAAAAATTAACTTTTTACATAATAGTTATCGGTATTTGGGAAATTCCAAAATTGGAAAAATATCAAAAATTCCACCATTTAACAAAGATTTTCTACGAACTACACAAAAAATAGCCATATTTCAAGAAATTTATGAAGCAAATTTGAGATAAATTGAATTAGAAACGAACAATTATTTATTTGCAAATTTTTAATATGTAAATGCGGAGTTTTTTTCCAATTATGAAGCCAAATGAATTTTATATTCAATATATTTTTGAACAGGTCTCGATGCCATCCACCGGAAAGATATCCTTCACAGGGATATTAAATCCAACAATATTTTTTACAAGGAGGAAAATGATAAGAAAATTTGGAAAATAGGAGATCTCGGACTCAGCAAAAAGGTGAACAGTTCCAGCGGAGAAGAGAGCAGTCTTGACGACGATGGTCTCTCCCACGTGGGAAATGTTAATTGCAGAAGCCCAGAAATGTCGAAGGGGCTAAATTACACTTACAAAACGGACATTTACAGCATGGGCCTCGTCTTTTTGGAAATCCTTCTTCCCGAAGTGACCAACAGTGGGAAAAAGATACAGGTATTTTCACAAATTAGAGAGTCCGAAAATTTGGCCGGTTATCTGCCAGACCTTCTCAGAGGAGCAGGAAGTGAGGACAAGAATCATAAAATTCGCGAGAATGGAGTAATGTACGAAATATTGGAAGGGATGCTCAATTCTGTGCCATTGTGTAGACTTGAGATTTATGAAATTTTGAAACTCTTGGGTTCCACGTGAAGCTGTCATATGAATGGAAAACTTATTTAAAAACGACATATAAATACAATGAAATAGTGCCTTCCAGCTTTCAACAATTTTCGCATATGATAGCTTAAAATTTCTGTACATAATTTTGTGCACATGCAGAATCTGAAATAGATAATATTGGCCTTGTCTACATGCAGTTTTTGAGATCTACGCAATAATGTGCGTTTTTTGGGCTAGTTTCGAGAAATTTAACTTTTTACCATATATAGTTCGGGCAAATTTGAATTATTTTAAACCTGTTGCAACCATACGCTTTCAATCTGGAGACGAGTTTTTGGAATAGCTCACAACAAAATAGTTGTTATTTGTATTTATTATAGTTAGTTTTTAATATAGGTAGATATTCGTTCAATATTGATTTCTTAACAAATCAGACTAAAATATTCGTTCCATATTCATTCAATTTTTGAATATTGAATGAATGACTGTGAACATGTATGCGCACAATACTTTTTTAGGACAAAGTTATTTCGGCTGCATTCTCGCCAGGTGGCCGTAGCCACTCGGAAGAATCCTGGACAAAAATGTACATACGTAGGTAATTTAGTCTTACTTAAATGGGAAGAAATTGCGACAATGCTCACAATGCAAGTCTTTTACGTGTACAACTCATGGTCAGATCTCAAAGGGACCAATTTCATTTTGTTCACCACAAAAAATAAGCATACTTTTATTTTTTCATTTTTCATAATGCGCTAATTTGAGCGAGGGGCGCGAACTTTAAAACATTTTTCAGCCAAAACCTCGGCTTTAAAAATTCTGTAAATTTTCGAATTTTAGCATGAATCCAAAAATTCGAAAACATGTCTCTTCAGAATGACTTACCTGACTTATGAACAATCCAATTGTGTAGAAATTTGATTTTCAAAATTTTTTGCCAGTTTTTGAAATTCATTAAAATTATAAACCCTTTCAAGTTTTAAATTTTTCAAAAAATAATGCATGTGGATTTTTCATTAGTAAAGTAAGTCATTCTGAAGACACATATTTTCGAATTTTTGGATTCGCGCTCAAATTCGAAAATTTACAGAATTTTTAGAAACCAAGGTTTTGGCTGAAAAATGTTTTAAAATTCGCGCCCCGCGCTCAAATTAGCGCATTATGAAAAATGCAAAAATTCGGATATGCTTATTTTTTGTGGTGAACAAAATAAAATTAATCCCATGCAGATCTGAGTTGTACACGTAAAAGACTTGCATTGTCAGTCATGCATGGATTTTGGCTGGAAAAATGTTAAATATATTAATTCACTTATAATTGGCAAAGTTGAATATTCAGGCGATACATACATATCTCTGCTTAATTACTACAGCGATATGTAAATACATATGTACCTTGAGATGATTACGATTTATTACTTGCACCTCCTACCTGGATGGAATTTTTGCTTTTAAATGGTTTGAAGGAATCCGGCTTTTATCCAGGCCTGCAGAATCCAGGTGTCTGTCTCTGTCCAGTACAAACGTATTCATACGTATTTACATATTTGCACGTAAATATTCTAATCACCATGGAAGCCAGGCAGGTACAATCAAACTCACAGTGGAGGTCTCCCGACGCATGCTCATAGATTTGGAGCAAACCAGCCTCAATCGATCACAAATTTAATTAGTATGAAATTTGCAAATGACACTATCTCCAAATGCGCAGGTTTGGCGGAAATATTTGCATCCAAAACGGAAAAAATGCGCAGCAATTTTGGAAAATTAAAAATTTTACCAGAATTATGGTTGCGCTTTCTCTGCTTTTTATGCAAATATCTCCGCTAATCTTTACCATTGGCAGGTAATTGGTTCCATTTGCAAATTTCATACAAGTTAGAGGGTGTTCCGGAAGTAATGCAACTTTGGTCAAATGCACATATAAACTCAACGAATGAATTTTTTAAAGCGAAATTTTGGTCAGAAAGGGACAAAGGTTAAAGCTAATTAAGTTTTGCTTCCAATGGTCCGTACACCCCTTCCGCCAAATTTGGAGACGTTTTTGTTGGGCGCTCACAATTAGTGCTTCGCCACTGTTTTTGGTCACCTTTTTTGAGATTTTTGACCACATGTGTTGAAATAAGTTCAAATTTTTGACTGAAGTTTTTCGATTACAATATTTTTTCTAGGATAGGAACTAAAATTTTTCAATAGGTCTTGTATTTGGCAAATTTGGGAACGTTCACCTCTCCCATGTTAATTGCATTTGATCCGTTTTAAGGCGGAGCGTGATACTTTGGCTTATATTTAATTTCCAGTTTTGCGTAAATGGTTTTCTTGAAGGTGGGAGAGTTGTACTATGTGCAAATAAAAGCATTTTGATAATCTGAGCAGTAAATCGTCTTGTACAGGACGATCAATTTTGGTTAATTTTAATTACTTCAGGTCAAGCATTTTTTCTGCCCTCCTGCTTGCTACTTTTATTTTACTCTTGACTATATTTATAAGCTTCTAGAACCTTCTAGGATTTGATGTCCAACTTCTAAGCTTTCAAATAATGTATGGTGTTCGGTGAGAACTTCAAGTACTTCAGCGAATTTCGCTCCGACATAACAAATTTTTATCTACACGAAGTTTATTACTTTCGGGGCTGCCACACGAATGTACCGACCAGATATTTTTTGCGATTAGTCGTTTTTTGCAGCTCATACCTTAGTATAACACAACAAATCGTCACTTTTGGAATTTCTTATTTTTTAAAGTGAACACAGCTCAATTTCTTGGAGCGCGTAACCACTTTTTCGAGGTAGTGGCAGACGATGGTTGCGAGTTGCTTGGTGGTATTTGACCTCATTTTGGAACGGATAGAGATATCGACTTCTGGTTTTCGGATTCTACTAGATAAATGTGTGGACTACAATATTCACCCAATTTCGAATTTGGGGCAAATTAATACCCTTGGATATATGCATTTTACCAAAGTTGCATTACTTCCGGAACACCCTCTATCAGAGGGCGGATATGTATGTAAATACGTATGTTCCGTAAAATATGTACCCGAGCTACACAGTATGTAACGATTAGGCGCCGACGAAAAGGTACCGAAATGCAACGCTACTTCGTTAATGAAAAGGTACCGAAATTTCGCAGTTAGCACCAAATCAACGCTATTTCATTGCCTACTCATTGGTACTGAATATTCCGTGCGGATTTGGCACCGAAATGTAGGTGTATAATCGGTGCTCGTTAGTGAACGTTGATACCCAACCAGATCGGTACCTGATCGGTACCATTGATAAATTTCGGCGCCGAATCGTTACATTATGGTGTTCAATTTCGTTAGTTTTTCGGTACTAGGATTTGGCAGCTCGGGTAGGTAATAGGTACTTAAGTTTCCTGAAAATATGGACGTAAGAATCGTTACTCAACTACTTTAAGTTTCTACTATATTAATGAAAAATAATTTGAGGAAACCTAAATTTCTGAATGGGGGAAAATATTTTTGCATAAAAAGACTTGGGTGAGGGTATCGACTAAAATATTTGTACTTAGAAAAATACAAGAAAATATGAATATGTACGTAAAATCCGCAAAATATGCATGGAATAATGTACGAATATGTACGAAAACCCTAAAATATAAAAAATGTGGAAAACTATATTTGAAGTTTTGCGATGGTGCATAGATATGTAGGATGTCACTTTACAAAGTTTTAGTACGATCTGATTTGGTATGAAAAAGTTATAAAGACGTACACACATATCCTCTCTCATATTTGTGATGGATTGACACTATTGGGCAGTTAGGAATAACTGATCACAGGTTTAAATTGAATTTCACCCCGCTCCCAATGTAATCAAGTGGGCACGTGATTTTATAATTTTTAATTTAAATTTTTAATTCTTATTTTTAATTTAATGTAATTTTAATTTTAATTTTATTTAATTTTTTATTTTTGTTTTAAATTTTATTTCGCGAAAATATCCTGCCATCTCTTATTCCATAATAATCAATAGTTTGCTCCAAATCTGTGACCATACGTTGGGAGACCTCCATTCTGAGTTGAATCGATCGTCGTGATCCTACTTTTTTTGTGTGAGGGATCGTGTCAACAGACTTACTTACATGTTTAGGTGCAGATGCAGAGAATTAAAAGAAGGAGAAGTGTGCAAAAGAATTATTTCCAGTTTTCAAGAAACCAGCTCCACCCCATCCATAAATCGAGTGCAGATCGGATGCCTAGTTAAATAAGAGAAAAATCATATCGTACCTTTGTATCTGCATATGCATGCAAATCTGTTCTGCATTACATGCACTCACTGAAGGATCTCATCGTATTTATTATTTTATTTCATTCAATCTGCACAAAAAATTTCACCTTCATAATAATATCTGTACTGCATCTTTCTTAACTTGTGTGCAGTTTGGTTTTCTTTCATTTATTTTCCTAATCCTGAGCTAAGCATACATACATAAATATATACTCATTCTACTCATTATTTAAGTACTATTGGTGGAGTGTTTTGTTGGCTGAGTTAAAAATAAATATTCCCGTCAAAAAAACTCTTTCAAAAGTTTGTGAATAATTTTGAGCGCTGCGCCTTGTGGTAGGGAAGTAATTCCATTATGAAGGGACGAGCAGGAAAAAGGAATCGGTTGCTTGGTACTATTCTTTATATTCTTCCACTCTTACTGATTTTATTCAGGTATGATAAAGTAGCTAAAGTAGCTCTAGCTGAATTTAATTGTTAAGAAAAGTCCTTTTAAACGATCAACTTCATTCGCATACAGGGTGGTTTAAACGTGAGGTTACATTGGCAAATTTTTCAATGGGAAAAACTCGTAAATTTCCATTAGTTACGGATTTGGGATTAAGATTTTGATTAATTTTTATCATAACTTAGGGAACACTGATATCAAAATTCTTAAAATATTGAATTTCAGAGAAAAAATTTCACTAACCAATGGAGACGAATTTTTCCCGTTGAAAAATTTTCCATTCTAACCTGACATTTAAACCACCCTGTACATATTTTTCAATCTTCCTCCACATGTGACTCTTCCCGCCATTTACAAACAGTTTTACAATCCTCCCGAGTGCCACATCTCCGCTGGACACAGATTCCGCCCTCATCGGAGGAGATCACGACCGACGGGACGAGCTTGTTGAGCCAGGAAACAATGCAAATCCCAAAAATTCCAAAAATGGCAGTTACACCATTGGAACATTAACCATTCCCGCCGGCTATGACAAATTGATCCTTCCCACGGGCGGTGGTGTGAGCAATGAGACCCTCGTCAACGTCCAGTTGGGCATTCGTGAAGTGTTGGGCGTGGATACGAAAGGGGAAGTAAATTCAGAATTCGAAATTTTTAAAAAAAATAACCCGACCAATTAGCAGCGCTTACTAGAAATGGGGTTACGATTATAACCAAAAAGTTAACGAATGTGACTCTACCGCCCTGGTTATGAATTTGTCACCAACTGGTTATAAATGTATTAGCTTTGGTGACAATTTAATACTACGTAATCAATTAAATTGTCACCAATTTTTTAACCGTTTTGTGGCCATTAAGGTCAAAATGGAGGTCACCATTGAATTCGGGGTAAAATTCTAGTTCAAAATTAATTATGTATCAAACTTGATCCTTCAGTGACCACTTGTGCCCTTGAGGTCAAAATGGAGGTCACCATTGAATTCTGGGTTAAATTTCAGATCAAAATGATATATCCCACAATTTGGCCTTTTAATGAAATTTCATGACCTTTTAATGAAATTTCATGACCTTTTGACCATGAACTTACAGTGTCCATCTTCGAACTCGTCCTGTCCTTTGACATTTATGTAAAGTTAACGTTCAAAATTTCAAGTCTCTATGTCTTTTCGTTCAAAAGTTATCGGGCAGACGGACCGACGGACGGACATAACGATCCCATATAGGGCTTTCACCCCTTAATAATTGTGCTCTTGTAGACCGTAGAACTTGACACGGAAGTAGGAGTCAGTTGGATAGATTGGGACATCTGGCTTAATTTCATGGAGGACAAGGAGGCCCAGGAAAAGGCGAAGACTAGAGACGAAGAAATCATACTGGACTCCGAAGTACTGCGACATATCTGGAAACCGGACATTTATATCGGTCCGTTCACCATTGTTGTAATTTTGTCCGAGTTCAGTATCAACTCAGAATGGAGGTCTCCCAACGTGTGCCCACAGATTTGGAGCAAACTAGCGTCAATCGATCACAAATATAATTAGTGTGTAATTTGCAAATGGAACTATCTGCTAATGCGCAGGTTTGGCGGAGATATTTGCATAAAAAGAGGAGAAAATGCACCCATAAGGCTGACTAATTTTTCATTTTCCAAATTTACTGCCGATTTTTCCCGCTTTGGGTGCAAATATCTCCGGCAAACCTGCGCTTTAGGAGGTAGTTCCATTTGCAAATTTTGAACTAGCGTCAATTGATCACACATATAATTAGTAAGAAATTTGCAAATGGCACTATCTCCCAATGCGCAAGATATATCCAAAGCGCATCCAAAGCGGGAAAAATGCGAAACAAATTTGGAACATGAAAAATTTGCCAGAATTGTGGTTACGTTTTCTCTTCTTTTTAGGCAAATATGTATCTCCGCTAAATTTGAGCATTGGCAGATAATGTCATTTACAACTTTCATCCTAATTAAATTTGTGATCAATTGAGGTTAGTTTGGTCCAAATCTGTGAGGATACGTTGGGAGATCTCCATTATGAGTCAATCTTGAAATTTTGATTTGCACAAATATATTTTCTCTTAAATTTGCTTTTAACAGATGAAATGGCATCTGTCGATAGGACCTCGATTCTCTCCAAATTAATCACGTTAAGATTTCTAGTAAACAATAAAGCTCTTCCGGGAATTATTTCCTTTAAATCAAGGTAAGGTATTTAATTACAAATTATATACTGAAGAGTTACGAATTTTGGTCGGGCGGGTGGGCAGAATTAATGGATTGGGATTTTGGGATGTTATTAATTCCATTCATTTCAACCTTTGAAATAAATAATTTTGTCCACGTTTATACGTGATAATTTTTTTGAACCCCTTAAACGGTTTGATTTTGCCCCCTTAAATGATCGTAAATTCCCACAGTTGACAATTTTTTTTCGTCCCCCAATTAAACTTAAATTTCCATGTAATTGATTACCATAGAAATGCTCTATTTTCGGGAAAATACAAATTTTTAGCATGCGTCCATTTATTTATGGGGCAAAATTAAATTATTTAGAGGGGCGATTAATTGCACGCCCGTTTATATAGACAAACCTTGAAACTGAGGTGTGACATGGATTTTCACTACTACCCCGCCGATATTCAGACGTGCGAGTATAACATTCGAAGCTGTAAGTTATGTCTGCATAATAATCAGACCGCGGATATGTATGTATTTATAAATCTTTTCACACCAAACCAGACCGCACTAAAACTTCGTGTACTGACATCCCATCTAAGCACGATTGCAAAAATTCCAACAAAGTTTTCCATATTTTACGCATGTACGTATTTTAGGGGTTTCGTCCATTTCTTCCTTCAGAAATTATGGTTTCCTCAAAATTATATTTTATAAATATACATATTAGAAAATTAAAGATGAGAAACGTTTTTTATGTAAATTTTTCCGATTTTTAAGCACATGTTACATATTTATTTTGCAGAATTTATTTACGTACATACATAGCCGCCCTCGGATAATAATGCAATGAACTTCAAAAACTAATAATATTTTTACGAACACAGATTCTTACACGCAAGACAAACTCTTCCTCATGTGGGACCTAGTTCACTCCATCTACCTGGATAAATTGGCCGATTCCAATTTTGACTTTCAAATTTCTTCCGCCGAGCCACAGTGGGCCAGATTTATTAAATTTTGGCCAAAAATATATATGAGCCGAATTTGAAGAAATAAAAATTAGATTTTGGTGTGCAACAATAATCTAAAGCATATAGTATATGAGGAAATTTTTAATTGTCACCTGCCACACCCCCAGTGGGTGTGGTCCTCGGCGACTTTTCGATTTTAACGAAACCATGTCATGTGATATATCATTTTTCTCAGCTCCATGAGGGGATCTCGACAGAATCATTAAAATCTTGACACCACACCCCCAGTGGGTGTGGCTCTAAGCAAATTGTCGATTTTAACGAAACAATGTCATGCAATATATCATTCTTCTCAGCACGACGAGGGGGTTTCGATGGAATACCTAAAATTGGGAAACCGCACCCCCACTGGGTGTGTTTCTCAGAAAACTTTCGATTTTAATAAAACCATGCCAAGTGTTGTCATGTTTCTCAGCTCGACAAGGGGGTTTCTAACGTATACCTTAAATCAGCGTTCAGCGAATTTTCGATTTTAATTAAACCATGTCATGTCGTGTCATCATTTCTCTTAACTAAATGAAGGGACTTTTACAAAATAATTAGAATTGCATTACCTAAATTAAGAAAAACCCACTTTCAAAAAGAATTAAAAAAATTTAGTTTTTCACAATTCCTTGCTGCATTTTTCAAAATTCCGAAATAGGATAATTTTCGGGAAAAAATGTTGTACTTCTTTCGTTTTTGATATAGCGTTAAAATTACAAAACATTAATTACAACTTTTTGACAAATTTAAATTTGAGCTGAAAATTGCCTCAAAACCGCCACAACCGAAAACACGAGCCTACATGGAAACGCAAAAATACAGGTGGTGCTATTTCGGTGTTGGAGAAATTTGAAATCGGAGAAAACAACTTGAAATTTGAAATCGGAGAAAGTCGCTGAACGCCACACCCACTGGGGGCGTGGTTTCAAAATTCTAATAATTCTGTCGAGATCCGCTAGTTGAGCTGACAAAATTCTATATAACGTGACATGGCTTCATTAAAATTGAAAAATCGCAGAGTGTCACACCCACGGGGGGTGTGGTTTTTAAGTTTCAATTATTATGTCGACATCCTCTCGTCGAGCTGAGAAACATGACATAACACATCGCATGGTTTTATTAAAATAGAAAATTTTTTGAGAACCACACCCACTAGGGGAGCGGTTTCCCAATTTTAGGTACTCCGTAGAAACCCCCTTGTCAAGCTGAGAAAAATGATATATCACATGACATGGCTCCGTTAAAATCGAAAAGTCGCCGAGGGCCACACCCACTGGGGGTGTGGCATATGACCAATTGAACATTGCTCGTAGTGCCCTCGGTTTCGAGGTATTTTTTCGATCTGCAGTTCGATTTTTAGTCTTTGAAATTTGGGCCGTATTCATTAATTATATTTTATAATTTCTTTGACCTTGCAACTCTAATTTCGAGGGGGTGTGGTCGAATTTAGAAAATCTGGAAATATATATTTCGCCAATTGACCCAAGGTTTCCAAAACAGTCGCCACTTTGAAAATCGGTCAACAATTGGAAAAGTAATCCGAATTTCAACTTTCAATGTTGTTAAGCATGACAAGATCGGCCATCAAGCCTTTCAGCAAGAAATGTCTTTAATTTTGATTCCCCTACCAGAGGGTGTGGTGTTTATACCCAAAATACGTTCCTGCTACCACCTCAGTTTGCTGAGAAAGTCCAATGAGTGAGTATACTTAAAGCATACTTGAGCAAAGGCAATTCAACTTAAATTTGATTTTTTTAACTTTAATGACTAAAAGTGGGTGTGGTTGGAATAAAGCTTGATGGTCGCAGACGGTCGCAGCAGGGTATACTTAGCACACCATGGGCTATTTAATGGCATGAGTTTTGAGTCCGCAATGCGTGAAGTTTTGTGAAGTTTTTAGAAAATGTGTTCGCCCTATCTTCGTAATGTATTATGAAAAGTTTACCCCAAGGGTACACCCGAGTGGGTGTAACATTTGGTTTTATATTTTGCATGGAGGACATGTTGGTTCTATACTACACGTTGAAATATGTGAATAGCCAATTCAAGATACCGCCTTAATGGCCACATTTTTAGGCTCCTGGCCCATTGTGCGAGCCAGGAGGGAAGTTGGATAATTTCTTTGTCACATCGCAGATTCAACGCTACCCAGAACTTAATAGTATGTAAATATGCATTACATTTTTTGCAAAAATTTCACTTCCAAATTTTAATTCAGTTTCATTGATACCGTTTTTTGCTTGCGAAACCATACCTGTTCAATTTTTTTTCCAAATTCAAAATTCCTTCACTTCGAAATTCAATTTTAATTATTCATTTATTCTTCATTCATTCAGTGAATTATTTATTCATTCTTTCAATGAATTATTCACTAATTCATTCATTCATTTCGGTATAATTGAATGAATGTGAACAGGTATGTGCGAAACTAAAACTAGACCTAAATATGTCCATAGCCAACTTTTCCGCGCTGCATTTTACACTGCAAATCCGAAGAAATCTGACCTACCACTTGGTTCAGGTACTTATTTAAGTAATTGAGTATTTATGTATGTAAATACGTAGCAAAAATTTGAGTATTTTAATATTTAAAACACTTGGTTCAGACTTATCTTCCCGCCGTGCTACTCATGATGGTCACGTGGTTGTGCTTCCTGCTTCCGGTGGATATGGTCCAGGCACGGATCGGAATCAGTATGACGACTTTACTCACGCTCACCGCCATGTTTGCAGCGGTCAGGTACATATACAGTGTATAAAAAAGGTATTCGTAAATTTTCGTTTTGAAATTATCGATAGGAACCCTTGTACTTGGACGTTTGAAACTCCTCACACAGCTGCAGTAACTCATTGACAATTAATTCCGCCTCGCCGATTTTGGAGGTGACCCAAAGGTCAAAGGTCAGATTTTTTCTACAAAATCAAAATGAGTGGCCAAAAATAAAACTTCATGGATAATTTTTTCTGGACTTTCTAATATTTTTTATTGGGAGCGGTGAGGCCTCACGAAAAAAATGAGCTATGGTAGGATCGTGTGCGATTTTTTTGACGCCTACAGGAATTTTTCGCCCAGGACGGGTTTGAGGTCTAAAATCGTGACCGTGGTGAAATTCAAAAACTCGAAATGTAAAAAACTATATAGACATCGAATATATGCTTTTGTACATTTCGATTTTTTGAATTTCTCCACAGTCACGATTTTAGACCTCAAACTCCTCCTGGGCGAAAAATTCCTGTGGGCGTCAAAAAAATCGCATACGATCCTACCATAGCTCATTTTTTTCGTGAGGCCTCACCGCTCCCAATAAAAAATATAAGAAAGTCCAGAAAAAATTATCCATGAAGTTTTATTTTTGGCCTCTCATTTTGATTTTGTAGAAAAAATCTGACCTTTGACCTTTGGGTCACCTCCAAAATCGGCGAGGCGGAATTAATTGTCAATGAGTTACTGCAACTGTGTGAGGAGTTTCAGACGTCCAAGTACAAGGGTTCCTATCAATAATTTCAAACCGAAAATTTACGAATACTTTTTTTATACACTGTATGTTTAAAAAATATTTATAAAAATGTCTCTTCTCCTTACCATGTTTACATATTTATTTATGTATGAATATGCAGGATGCGCAGGAAACTTCAAAAATTTCAAGAAGATCATGCCAAGAAGGATCAGGCTGCCAATGTATGTAAAATTTTGTTTCGTTTTTTTTTTACATAAAACTACAATAAAATCTAATTAACAAACGCCGGGTATGAATGAATGTATTTAAAACTTTTTATTATCAAATCAGATCGTACAAAATAAAACTTGGTATACTGACCCCAAATCTAACCGCGATCGCAAAAATTCAAACATGGATTTCCATATTTTCCATAAATATTTTAGGGTTTTCGTACAGATTACATGTTTTCATACATATGTATTTTGAGGATTTTTCGTACATATACATACATACATATTTTCCTGTATAATTATACTATTGTTTTAAGTTAAAATATTTTGGTGGATATCACCAAATTTTTTATGCAAAGTATTTTCCTTCATTCAGAAATTAAGGTTTCCCCAAAATTATATTTCATACATAAATATAGTATACAAATTTAAGTTGAAAAAGATTTTTTATGTGCATACATATTCACAGGTTGTTTAAGCATATGTATACTAGCGTATTAGCCCGTCTCCCTCACACAATTGCACAAATTAATTTTTTTAGATGTTTATTAAAGGGAAGTATTTGTCGCCAACGGAAGGAAAGCAACGAACGCTAAAGTTAAAACTCTAAAAGATCCTCAAATAATTTGAATTTGAATTTTCGCGGAATTTAACTTTCTTCACTTTCACTTCCGTTGCGAACAAACATTTCCAGATTATAATATACATAGATTACATGGAAATTTTTTACGCACATACATAATTTTGTTTCGTTTTGTACAAAAAACCAAAAAAAAACTCTAATTAATGATGTAATAAATAAATTTCTTTCTTTCTTGGTACTTTTCCAGGGGGAACTGGGCGGGTCAAATGGAACACTGCAGTCAACCGCATCCTCAGAAGCGGCCCCTCGGCCAAAAGAGAATGACCACCAGAAACGCCACCTGGAAGAGAGCGACACCTACGTCAATCTTGTCGAGAATGCGCGACGATACGCCTTCTGGCTGTTTGCGCTCCTGTTCATCCTTTTTCTGTCCGTTTACACGGCGTGGATATTCACCGGCTCGAAATACTTCGAGTGGGAGGCACCTCCCCGATATAACGCAATTGTGGATGACACCAACCCGAAAAATGATACGAATCGTCTCTTTGCCTTTCAAGAGAAGGAATTTCCAGAGGATGTGGTCAACTCACCGGATAAAGAAACCGAGTCAGAGATTCGCTATAGTGATATTATTGACTCCGTTGTCAAGCCCAGATTGGGTGAGGAGGGAGATGATGAATGAATCAGCAGGGCTGTCTAATTAATTAGCAAACCCGATTAATTAGCCAACTAATTCTGAACTAATTACTAGATACCAATTAATTAGTTTTAGCACTCGGAAGCTAATTACTAATTAATTAGTCGACGGAGAAAAACTAATTAAGA